AACACAAACACTGCTCAAACCGCTCTGGATTCTTGCTGCTGTGGCCAACATAGCTCAGCCTGGCTTCCCGCTGACCTCCATCTGCAGGGCTGCGCAGACAGGACCGCTCCTGCTCCCCATGGTCCCCCCCAGGCCCCTCTCCCAGTGTAGACAGAGGTCGGAGGGGATGGAGGTCCCAGCAGGACATGCCCCGGAGGCTTCACTGCCTGTCCCATCCGCAGAGGGTGGCAAGGCAGCCGTCATCCCCAAAACCTCAGTGACTTTACATCTCCTGTGTTTTCCTGACTCTCAGGATGTTGGTCTGGTCTCTGCTTCCAGCCCACACACCGGGGTTCTGCTACGTGGTGCCACCACTAGACCAAAAGCGTCAGCCCAGCCCTAAGCCCATTTTCAGAGGTAGACAAAAGTAGCAATAATAAAAATCAGGGTACTTTGCCCTTCTGTAGAGCCTTTCATCTGAGGCGCTGTAAATGTTGCACAAACATTGCAGGAGCCTACACAAATCGGTAACTTGGCATGTGTGGTCTAAGCCAGAGGCAGTCTTCTCTTTCAAAGTCACATAAAACAAATTTGGCAGCTTTAAAAAAATTATTTAAAAAGCATGCTGGATAAAAAAGATGATTCTGTATTTACATGGCTGGAAAGTTGCTATAAACCCCAGAATTTGCCAAGCACATGAGGTAATCGCTGTTTTGGAAATGACTCTGACCCTAACCTTTAAACATTGGCTTGCGCGCAGAGCACCTTTTTAATGGCATGCCCACGTAAACATCAGCATCGCAAACCGAGACCAGACACCATCTTTTCACTTCTTTCTAAAGGCGTGAGAGGTCTAAAGTTCACCCAAACAACCCTCCTGGTGCCTGCTCTGCCTGGGAGACCTTTGGAGAAGATGCAGCGTCCTGAGAGGCAAGGGTCCACTCCTGGCGCCAGCAGAGCACTGGGAGCCTCTCCCATTGCCATATCAAAGCACAGGATGCCCTTTAGCTAGAAAAACATTAAGGAATTGAATCATCCTTGGAATAAAAAAAAAAAAAAAAAAAAAAAAGAGACCATTTAAAGGAAAAATGGGTCATAAATTCAGGCAAATTCTGTGAACCCTGTGAGCCAGAAGTTAATTGAAGGGGTTTGGAAAACCTCAAAGTCCCTAAGCTTCCCTTAATCCTGCTAGGAACAAGTCGTGACTAAGAGAGAGCTGCTGCATGCCTGGGGACCTGGGGACACAGCTACGTCCCTTGCGCAGGCGGCAAGGCCGGATCCCCGGGGCTGCCATTTTCCTTTGCCTGGGGAGATGGCGAGGACCCCCTCAAGCTCTGCCACGGCAGAAGGAAGAGGGGCACAATGCCAGTGGCTGGGAGCCTTCCTCCTCCTGCCACGTAATTCATCCCTGAAAGGCCGTTTCTGAATGTGCTCAGCCCGGCTCCAGTGCTCACCTTCCCAGAGCAGGGATGTGCCCGAAAATGATGCCTGAAACAATGCCCAAAAAAGCAGAAACTCTGCACTGCTTCGCAGAGCTAGAGTTAAAAACAGCCCCCGTGGTTTTGGATCCCCTGTTTTTGCCATAAATCGAAGCAGGGGTGGATGGCTGCGGTGTCCCCGAGCTCCTGGGGCTGAACAAGGAGGGACCAGCCGGCCGGGAGCAGGATACACGCATCCCAAAGTGCAGCCATTGATCTCTAGCAGGCTGAAGGAGGGCTGATGAATAAGGAATCACTGAAAATGTAATTTTCCAAGAGCTTCTCTCAGGAGAACAAGATAACGCAACTGTCTCCGCTTTCGTCATTGCCAAGAGATCTCCTGAGACCGCGGCTTACCCAAACAGGCCACCAGACCGTGTCTGAGCTCTGCCTCATTAAAGCTCCCACCTGCACCCATCTCCTGGGAGGCAGTAGGACCCAGAAACACAGCCAGGTACCACCGCCCTGCCCCTTCTGGGATCAGCTCCCTTGGCTGCATTTGTCACATACACACAGTGTTACCCGGCAAGGGAACGGCAGCACTCACCTGACCTATTGCATCTGCACTTCACTACCACCCCCCCATGATTTTTCCTTGTGCTAGGGAAACGAAGTCTGGGTTAGAGCATCAACGCAACCTCACTGCGATGCAGGGGCAAGGTGCCCAGCTCACTCCAACTCAGCCCCGGGGCTGGAGAGCTTTGGAAAGCCTGAAATGCAGATGCTACCTCGGGAGGTGTCGCAGCGGCCAGCTCTGTTCCTCTTCCAGGCTTGGCCCAACCCAATTAATTCCAAACTAAGATCATGCTAACGTTCTCGCTGCTTGCAAAAATCGTTTCTCTGAAGAGCTGGTACTAATTACTCCACCCAGCTGTGAGCATAAGTGAACTGCAACACTGAGCTACAGAAAATGGCTCAAAATCTGACTGTATGTGGAAGAAACCTGATGGTCACTGGGACACCAATGCTGGGCATGCTGGAACTGCAGGTCATTCTGCATCGCTTGCTAGCAGCAGCCAGGTAGCTATCTCAGAGATCAATGTCCCTCCAAATGCTGTGGAATAAGGGAGAGAAAGGCTTTTTCTGCAATAGAAGTGTGGTTTCTGGAAGAATATTTACGATTCCCACTAAAGGCACTGTGGGGCAGTGCTGCGGGGGGAGCGGGGCCTGCTGGCACCCCCAGCCAGGGCAGCGGGTGGTTAGCTGGGGAAGGCCACTGCTGGCGAGGGCTGTGCTGGAGGAGAGCGGCTGGAGAGCCAGGTAACCGTGCCGGCAAGGCCGGCCTGGCCGTACAAAGCTGGCACCACGCACGCTCCTCCCGCGGCCAGCTCAAGCCTGTGCCTCAAGGACACCTCCGGGCTCACCTCCCCCTCCCCTGCCCTGCGGCTTCCCCGAAGCTGCCGAAGAACCTGGACACAGGCTCCGATTTCCCAGAGCTCTCCGGAGCTCCTGACTGAAATAAATGGTGTTTTCACATGAAATCCCCTCTCTGTTTCTCCTTAGCTGCCCGGTCAGCTTTGGACAGCCTCTCTCAGAAGAGACTTGGGGTCTATTTTCAGGCAGGCTCCTAGGCTAACCGTAGCAGGAGCTCTCTAAAAAGCTGCTTGCTCAGGTGTGCTTCAGCTGGAGCACCCAATCCTGCCAAAACCCAGCAGAGAAATTTCAACATCCAGAAACCCCTGGCTCCCTGGGGACCGCTGCATCCATTCTTGCTTGCTACTGGACAGGAGCACATTTGCTTTTCATGAGCAGCTCCCTCCTGGTGAACGTGGCTCCCTGGTTTTCCAGGCATGGGGTTGGTTGGGGGGATCCCTGCATCACCGGGAGAAGAGCTGGACCTTGTGGGGAGGCAGAGTAAGCAGAGCAGGCCAGCACTGGGACTGCTCAGCCTGTCCTCCCGCTGGTCTGCACAGCATTTACCACAACGCCATGGGGTTCCTACGAAAGCTATGCTTATAATTCATGCCAAATTATCACTAGAGTATTAACTGCATATGCATATAGCCAAGGCCGGTGTTTCCACACTATGTATCTGCATTTAGACATTTCTGGGGGAAGTGCATGAATTTAGTACAACTATAAAGGACTCTCCTAATAAACCCCATTCAATTACACCAACTGAAAGGTAGATCAAATAAACTGGGCTTAACCTGACTTGGGAAAGCCCTCTAATTACCTGGCTTTCAATCAATGTTCTGACATGAATATGGAGGATTCTGCTACGTGGTCACTGCAAGCAAAAATAATTGGAGCTTGGCAATTAAAAGAGCTCCTTTTTTAAATTACACTCGTGTTTTTAAGAGTCAGAAGCCAAAGTTTCAAGTTTTCACAAGACAGCTATAAAGCGCTGGAGTGACTACATGTAATTCCCGTTGTGAAAGGTTTTTAATGGACCAAGTGCTTTTTGCTGTTAACAGTAATTATCTAGCACTTCCAAACCACTTTTCATCTGAGAGCTTGCAAATAATCTTCCCTGAAAGATAAGAGAGGAGCAGGAGAATTAGCTCTGCAACAGGCATTGAGCTGAGTCACAGAAAGACGCAGGGATTTGGATAGGGCCGTGCAGCGAGTCGGTGCTGCTGCAGCAGGACTACAGTGCTTCCTTCCAGATGCCACGAGCAGCCTTTGCCGGAAGACTGCGGGAGATGTAGATAAAGAGCAAGTAAAAATTCTGCTTCTGCACTTCATTTTGCTGCATCCTCCTGAATTCTGCTCCTGCACCAACCTTTGAAATCATCGTGTGAGCGTGAACGAGCAGAGAGTCAGCAAGTACCGGGGGAGAGAGCTCTTCCATACCATGCCCCTTCCAGACACGCTCCCTCTGCCCAGCTCCAACTCAAGCTCTCAGCAGCCCCTTCCCCACCCTTCCAGGAGCATTTCCAGCCTCTCCATCCACAAACCACAAGCCCAGGCCCTCAAGGTGGGTTTTGGCATTTGCACCACGACATCAGAGGGACCGGGGCAGATTTCTCTGACCTGTCCGCATGTGCCTCCACCCAGCTTGTGCTGGGAGCTGGAGACCAGAGCAGAGGGCAGTGGACATCTTCCTCAGCTGCCCACCTTCAGACCAGTCCCCCCACTTCCCTCCCACGCACAACCAGACCTTGTTGCCATACCTTTGTTTAAGGGGAAGTTTTCCAGCCCTTTTTTCTTCCTCCTCCAACCTCCTGCGAGCTTCTTCCAGCTGGGTGAGAGGGTTGGGTGCTGGATTGGGTGGCATAGTAGGATCTTGGATGAAGGGGTGAGAAGGCTGGACAGCGTTCCGGAGCTGGGCACTGACCCACGGATGCACTGCAACAGGTCGCTCAATGGAGAGGGGTCGGACCATATCATGGGACAGCTGCTTCTTAGCACCTGAAGAGCTACACACAAACACAAAGGTTTTACACAGACTGCCGAGCCGCTTTGGACAGGCACAGAGTCACTCCTAGATGGACCTACTGCTTCTGCAGCTGGACATGGGCACCACTGGGAAGCTCCTTACAGCACAGCTTCCAAGGGATGGGGGAGCATCATCTACCTCTAGAGATTTCAGGACAGCAAGTCCTGAGACATCAGGGTGAGCAACCCAACCCTGACACAAAGCCCCCAGATCTATTCAAGGGCTCTCATCAAGTCCACAATACATAAAAATAAAACCAGCAAAAGGCAGCTCCACCATTTGTGATGTTCCCCCAGAAGATGCCCTCCCATGTGGGCTGCTGACATTCCCAGGCTGGGAGCCTCTCCATGAACCACTGGCTGGCATCTCCAGGGAAGGGGATGTTGCAGGGATGTGCTTGTCCTTCTCCAGCTCCGGCACTCCACGGTGGCCTGGCACTGCTCACAGCTCTGGCACTCGGTCCCAGTAGCCTGCAGTGCAACCCTCCCTGGCCTCTACCATCAAGCAAGAGAAGGAACCACCAGCAGTTTCACCACTCAGCCACCAGCACAGCTGCATCAGAGCGGACGAGGCCCCAGATCCCTTGCGTCGACACCTGGCAAGCACTGTTTTTTGCCAGAGACTGACCAGACCGTGATTAAAGGATCCGTGCCTGCAGGAGATCTGCTTGACTCCTGAGACAGTCAGGTCCTTGGCTCCACTCTAGGCAGGCGAGGCCACTCCAGAGGATGCTCCCAGCAAGCCGAAATGCTGGGCAACCCTGAGCCACATCAAACTGCTTACTCAGGCCCAATGGCGCCAGTGCAGCAGGTCCAATGTTTCTATCAGCACCTTGCTGATAGGCATTTACATACAGCAAATGCTTAAAGGAAGAACACTACCTACTGTCTGCCGCGTTATCCACCTGGGAACCACAGCAGCAATTTGTGAGGTTCCCCTGGGGCTGCAACCTCCCCTCCACGGCCACAAGTCATCCTTCAGAAAAAAACTGCCCTTACAGCCCCCGAGCAATTCTCAGTCTCCAAAAGGTCTAAATCCTTGTGCTTGGTGGATTCTCGTCTTCCCAAGACCTCCAGGAACAAGGCAGCCTAGACACACATGCCTTGTGCAAGGGGATGCAATACAACAGTGTGACAACCTCTTGCTCTGCCAGCCCTTACCCATGGTTTGTTTTCTTATGCCTGCTGATCTCCTTCTCTCCTTCTATGATCCACTGAAGGATCTTCTGGTTTCTTTCCATGTCTTCAGGAGATCCTGGCATCTCATAGCTGGCACCATCACTTTTCCCTGAATCGGTCTTCTTAACATTTCTTTTTGAGAGCAGACTTGCTTTCCCACTGCAAGAACAAAGCTTGAGACATTAGCACTTGGCCTAAGCCAAACCACAGCAGCCGGTGGCAGAGGATGGACCTGTCTATCTCCAGACATATTCAGCTCTGCCAGGGTCTGGTGCTGCCTTCCACAGCCCCCTGGCTCTACCACAGCTCAAACCAACCATGCCGCAGTTGAGGCTAAGAGCAAGACTGGCCAGACCTAGGCACAGTAGGCTTCTCTGTCCAGCCACTGCTGGGAAAGGGAGCTTCTCCTCTGGCCAAATGAGCCATGGCAACACAGCTAAAAAGCCCAGCAGATCTCCTGCCACGTGATGTGTTAAACCCCTGGCTCTTTGCTCAGAGCAGGATGTTCATCTTGGTGCTGCAATCCATCATCTGTCTCTCCATGACAGACCACTGCTCGAAACCTGAGCCCATTGCATCACCCCCCAGATTCACCGATCCCCCAAACTGCTGATGTGCCATGCCCAGCATCTGCTTCTCACCCTGATTTGAACCAAGGCTTCACATCATGGTGGAAGAGCATACCCTAGCAGAGTGGGCTCCCTTCTGCAGGCTCTCATGGAGGCCCGGCCACCTCAAACACCGTAGCCAGATGGACGCCAGGCAGTAGCTGATACCCTGGCTATGCCTATGGCTGCAGCAAAGTCTCCGACAGAAACCCCACCGCCCCTGCCCACCTCCATGCCCACGT